CACTGTCCCAAGTCTAGAGGAACACCAACTTCAGCACAGCAACTCGAGGAATGCTCTGTGTACCCCAAATCGTCTCGAGATGAGAGCTGATTCCCTGGCTTAGGCTCAAGACGTATGCCAACTTTCCAGAAGCACCTCAGGAGGAGGCTTCTCAGCAATAGGTATGTGGGAGGGACTCCGAGTTTGCTGCCTCAAGGGGAATATACAGCGAGAAGCCCTAACTTGAAAGGAGGCCGGATTTCCTTGCAGTAGCTTGAATACAGGCTTGTCTTTCATCTCACAACATGAAGGGATGTCTGAATCCCCTGTGGAGACCTTAGAGAAAGCCCTAGGTCCCTGCCTCATTTTGACGGAATGCCTCACATCCCGCTGACACCTCGAGAGGCACGCGGAGTTCATTGCTTCAAAAGGTGACGATGCCTGACTCCTCTTGAATACTGATAGGAATCCCAAAATCCCTGTGGCTCCTGGAAAGGGTCCTTTGGTGCCCTGCCTCACCTCGATAAGCGTCCCTTTTGCCCTGCCAAGCCTCGAAGAGATTCCTGAGGTGTCCCTCGTTACTAGACAGGAGTCCTGACGACACTGAAGAAACTCGTGTTTTGAAGGGCCATCCCCGCCGTAAGTCGAGAACATACCTCAGGTCCCCGCCGCAACTCGAGAAAAACCATGAGACTTCCCCCTAGAGGCGAGATGAGGCCCCATTCCCCTGCAGTGCATGCAGAGCTATTCCGTGATCCCATTCAAACAAGTCAGGAGCTTCGACTTGCTTAATGGATCTCGAGACAGTCCCCAAGAACACTGTCACCAGTCTAGACGGACCCTGAGGTCACCCAGCAATGCAAAGCAGCTCCATGTGCCCCAAATCAACTCGAGATGAGGCCGGATTCCCCTGCATTGACTGCAGAGCCATTCCCCGTTCCCCATTCAACACGACCGGTGGCTCGACTTCCTTCAGGCAACTCCAGAGATCCCCCGAGAACACTGTCCCAAGTCTAGAGGAACACCAACTTCAGCACAGCAACTGGAGGAATGCTCCGTGTACCCGAAATCATCTCGAGATGAGAGCTGATTCCCTGGCTTAGGCTCAAGACGTATGCCAACTTTCCAGAAGCACCTCAGGAGGAGGCTTCTCAGCAATAGGTATGTGGGAGGGACTCCGAGTTTGCTGCCTCAAGGGGAATATACATCGAGAAGCCCTAACTTGAAAGGAGGCCGGATTTCCTTGCAGTAGCTTGAATACAGGCTCGTCTTTGATCTGACAACATGAAGGGATGTCTGAATCCCCTGTGGAGACCTTAGAGAAAGCCCTAGGTCCCTGCCTCATTTTGACGGAATCCTCACATCCCGCTGACACCTCGAGAGGCACGCGGAGTTCATTGCTTCAAAAGGTGACGATGCCTGACTCCTCTTGAATACTGATAGGAATCCCAAAATCCCTGTGGCTACTGGAAAGGGTCCTTGGGTGCCCTGGCTCACCTCGAGAAGCGTCCCTTTTGCCCTGCCAAGCCTCGAAGAGATTGCTGAGGTGTCCCTCGTTACTAGACATGAGTCCTGACGTCACTGAAGAAACTCGTGTTTTGAAGGGCCATCCCCGCCGTAAGTCGAGAACATACCCCAGGTCCTCGCCGCAACTCGAGAAAAAACATGAGACTTCCCCCTCGAGGCGAGATGAGGCCCCATTCCCCTGCAGTGCATGCAGAGCTATTCCGTGATCCCATTCAAACAAGTCAGGAGCTTCGACTTGCTTAATGGATCTCGAGACAGTCCCCAAGAACACTGTCACCAGTCTAGACGGACCCTGAGGTCACCGCAGCAACGCAAAGCAGCTCCATGTGCCCCACATCAACTCGAGATGAGGCCCGATTCCCCTGCATTGACTCCAGAGCCATTCCCCGTTCCCCGTTCAACACGAACGGAGGCTCGCCTTCCTTCAGGCAACTCCAGAGATGCCCCGAGAACACTGTCCCAAGTCTAGAGGAACACCAACTTCAGCACAGCAACTCGAGGAATGCTCTGTGTACCCCAAATCGTCTCGAGATGAGAGCTGATTCCCTGGCTTAGGCTCAAGACGTATGCCAACTTTCCAGAAGCACCTCAGGAGGAGGCTTCTCAGCAATAGGTATGTGGGAGGGACTCCGAGTTTGCTGCCTCAAGGGGAATATACATCGAGAAGCCCTAACTTGAAAGGAGGCCGGATTTCCTTGCAGTAGCTTGAATACAGGCTCGTCTTTGATCTGACAACATGAAGGGATGTCTGAATCCCCTGTGGAGACCTTAGAGAAAGCCCTAGGTCCCTGCCTCATTTTGACGGAATCCTCACATCCCGCTGACACCTCGAGAGGCACGCGGAGTTCATTGCTTCAAAAGGTGACGATGCCTGACTCCTCTTGAATACTGATAGGAATCCCAAAATCCCTGTGGCTACTGGAAAGGGTCCTTGGGTGCCCTGGCTCACCTCCAGAAGCGTCCCTTTTGCCCTGCCAAGCCTCGAAGAGATTGCTGAGGTGTCCCTCGTTACTAGACAGGAGTCCTGACGTCACTGAAGAAACTCGTGTTTTGAAGGGCCATCCCCGCCGTAAGTCGAGAACATACCCCAGGTCCCCGCCGCAACTCGAGAAAAAACATGAGACTTCCCCCTAGAGGCGAGATGAGGCCCCATTCCCCTGCAGTGCATGCAGAGCTATTCCGTGATACCATTCAAACAAGTCAGGAGCTTCGACTTGCTTAATGGATCTCGAGACAGTCCCCAAGAACACTGTCACCAATCTAGACGGACCCTGAGGTCACCGCAGCAACGCAAAGCAGCTCCATGTGCCCCACATCAACTCGAGATGAGGCCCGATTCCCCTGCATTGACTCCAGAGCCATTCCCCGTTCCCCGTTCAACACGAACGGAGGCTCGCCTTCCTTCAGGCAACTCCAGAGATGCCCCGAGAACACTGTCCCAAGTCTAGAGGAACACCAACTTCAGCACAGCAACTCGAGGAATGCTCTGTGTACCCCAAATCGTCTCGAGATGAGAGCTGATTCCCTGGCTTAGGCTCAAGACGTATGCCAACTTTCCAGAAGCACCTCAGGAGGAGGCTTCTCAGCAATAGGTATGTGGGAGGGACTCCGAGTTTGCTGCCTCAAGGGGAATATACAGCGAGAAGCCCTAACTTGAAAGGAGGCCGGATTTCCTTGCAGTAGCTTGAATACAGGCTCGTCTTTCATCTCACAACATGAAGGGATGTCTGAATCCCCTGTGGAGACCTTAGAGAAAGCCCTAGGTCCCTGCCTCATTTTGACGGAATGCCTCACATCCCGCTGACACCTCGAGAGGCACGCGGAGTTCATTGCTTCAAAAGGTGACGATGCCTGACTCCTCTTGAATACTGATAGGAATCCCAAAATCCCTGTGGCTCCTGGAAAGGGTCTTTTGGTGCCCTGCCTCACCTCGATAAGCGTCCCTTTTGCCCTGCCAAGCCTCGAAGAGATTCCTGAGGTGTCCCTCGTTACTAGACAGGAGTCCTGACGACACTGAAGAAACTCGTGTTTTGAAGGGCCATCCCCGCCGTAAGTCGAGAACATACCCCAGGTCCCCGCCGCAACTCGAGAAAAACCATGAGACTTCCCCCTAGAGGCGAGATGAGGCCCCATTCCCCTGCAGTGCATGCAGAGCTATTCCGTGATCCCATTCAAACAAGTCAGGAGCTTCGACTTGCTTAATGGATCTCGAGACAGTCCCCAAGAACACTGTCACCAGTCTAGACGGACCCTGAGGTCACCCAGCAATGCAAAGCAGCTCCATGTGCACCAAATCAACTCGAGATGAGGCCGGATTCCCCTGCATTGACTCCAGAGCCATTCCTTGTTCCCCATTCAACACGACCGGTGGCTCGACTTCCTTCAGGCAACTCCAGAGATGCCCCGAGAACACTGTCCCAAGTCTAGAGGACCACCAACTTCAGCACAGCAACTCGAGGAATGCTCAGTGTACCCCAAATCGTCTCAAGATGAGAGCTGATTCCCTGGCTTAGGCTCAAGACGTATGCCACCTTTCCAGAAGCACCTCAGGAGGAGGCTTCTCTCAGCAATAGGTATGTGGGAGGGACCCCGAGTTTGCTGCCTCAAGGGGAATATACAGCGAGAAGCCCTAACTTGAAAGGAGGCCGGATTTCCTTGCAGTGGCTTGAATACAGGCTCGTCTTTCATCTCACAACATGAAGGGATGTCTGAATCCCCTGTGGAGACCTTAGAGAAAGCCCTAGGTCCCTGCCTCATTTTGACGGAATCCTCACATCCCGCTGACACCTCGAGAGGCACGCGGAGTTCATTGCTTCAAAAGGTGACGATGCCTGACTCCTCTTGAATACTGATAGGAATCCCAAAATCCCTGTGGCTACTGGAAAGGGTCCTTGGGTGCCCTGGCTCACCTCGAGAAGCGTCCCTTTTGCCCTGCCAAGCCTCGAAGAGATTGCTGAGGTGTCCCTCATTACTAGACAGGAGTAGTGACGTCACTGAAGAAACTCGTGTTTTGAAGGGCAATCCCCGCCGTAAGTCGAGAACATACCCCAGGTCCCCGCCGCAACTCGAGAAAAACCATGAGACTTCCCCCTAGAGGCGAGATGAGGCCCCATTCCCCTGCAGTGCATGCAGAGCTATTCCGTGATCCCATTCAAACAAGTCAGGAGCTTCGACTTGCTTAATGGATCTCGAGACAGTCCCCAAGAACACTGTCACCAGTCTAGACGGACCCTGAGGTCACCCCAGCAACGCAAAGCTGCTCCATGTGCCCCACATCAACTCGAGATGAGGCCCGATTCCCCTGCATTGACTACAGAGCCATTCCCCGTTCCCCATTCAACACGACCGGTGGCTCGACTTCCTTCAGGCAACTGCAGAGATGCCCCGAGAACACTGCCCCAAGTCTAGAGGAACACCAACTTCAGCACAGCAACTCGAGGAATGCTCCGTGTACCCCAAATCATCTCGAGATGAGAGCTGATTCTCTGGCTTAGGCTCAAGACGTATGCCAACTTTCCAGAAGCACCTCAGCAGGAGGCTTCTCTCAGCAATAGGTATGTGGGAGCGACCCCGAGTTTGCTGCCTCAAGGGGAATACACAGGGAGAAGCCCTAACGTGAACGGAGGCCAGATTTCCTTGCAGTGGGTTGAATAAAGGCTCGTCTTCGATCTGAAAACATGAAGGGATGTCTGAATCCCCTGTGGAGAACTTAGAGGAAGCCCTAGGTCCCTGCCTCATTTTGACGGAATACCTCACATCCCCCTGACACCTCGAGAGGCACGCAGAGTTCATTGCTTCAAAAGGTGACGATGCCTGACTCCTCTTGAATACTTATAGGAATCCCAAAATCCCTGTTCCTACTGGAAAGGGTCCTTGGGTGCCCTGGCTCACCTCGAGAAGCGTCCCTTTTGCCCTGCCAAGCCTCGAAGAAATTGCTGAGGTGTCCCTCGTTACTAGACAGGAGTCCTGACGTCACCGAAGAAACTCGTGTTTTGAAGGGCCATCCCCGCCGTAAGTCGAGAACATACCCCAGGTCCCCGCCGCAACTCGAGAAAAACCATGAGACTTCCCGCTAGAGGCGAGATGAGGCCCCATTCCCCTGCAGTGCATGCAGAGCTATTCCGTGATCCCATTCAAACAAGTCAGGAGCTTCGAATTGCTTAATGGATCTCGAGACAGTCCCCAAGAACACTGTCACCAGTCTAGACGGACCCTGAGGTCACCCCAGCAACGCAAAGCAGCTCCATGTGCCCCAAATCAACTCGAGATGAGGCCCGATTCCCCTGCATTGACTCCAGAGCCATTCCCCGTTCCCCAATCAACACGAACGGAGGCTCGCCTTCCTTCAGGCAACTACAGAGATGCCCCGAGAACACTGTCCCAAGTCTAGAGGAACACCAACTTCAGCACAGCAACTCGAGGAATGCTCTGTGTACCCCAAGTCGTCTCGAGATGAGAGCTGATTCCCTGGCTTAGGCTCAAGACGTATGCCAACTTTCCAGAAGCACCTCAGGAGGAGGCTTCTCAGCAATAGGTATGTGGGAGGGACTCCGAGTTTGCTGCCTCAAGGGGAATATACAGCGAGAAGCCCTAACTTGAAAGGAGGCCGGATTTCCTTGCAGTAGCTTGAATACAGGCTCGTCTTTCATCTCACAACATGAAGGGATGTCTGAATCCCCTGTGGAGACCTTAGAGAAAGCCCTAGGTCCCTACCTCATTTTGACGGAATGCCTCACATCCCGCTGACACCTCGAGAGGCACGCGGAGTTCATTGCTTCAAAAGGTGACGATGCCTGACTCCTCTTGAATACTGATAGGAATCCCAAAATCCCTGTGGCTACTGGAAAGGGTCCTTGGGTGCCCTGCCTCACCTCGAGAAGCGTCCCTTTTGCCCTGCCAAGACTCGAAGAGATTCCTGAGGTGTCCCTCGTTACTAGGCAGGAGTCCTGACGTCACTGAAGAAACTCGTGTTTTGAAGGGCCATCCCTGCCGTAAGTCGAGAACATACCCCAGGTCCCCGCCGCAACTCGAGAAAAACCATGAAACTTCCCCCTAGAGGCGAGATGAGGCCCCATTCCCCTGCAGTGCATGCAGAGCTATTCCGTGATCCCTTTCAAACAAGTCAGGAGCTTCGACTTGCTTAATGGATCTCGAGGCAGTCCCCAAGAACACTGTCACCAGTCTAGACGGACCCTGAGGCCACCCCAGCAACGCAAAGCAGCTCCATGTGCCCCAAATCAAATCGAGATGAGGCCCGATTCCCCGGCCTTGACTCCAGAGCCATTCCTTGTTCCCCATTCAACACGACCGGTGGCTCGACTTCCTTCAGGCAACTCCAGGGATGCCCCGAGAACACTGTCCCAAGTCTAGAGGAACACCAACTTCAGCACAGCAACTCGAGGAATGCTCTGTGTACCCCAAATCGTCTCGAGATGAGAGCTGATTCCCTGGCTTAGGCTTAAGACGTATGCCACCTTTCCAGAAGCACCTCAGGAGGAGGCTTCTCTCAGCAATAGGTATGTGGGAGGGACCCCGAGTTTGCTGCCTCAAGGGGAATATACAGCGAGAAGCCCTAACTTGAAAGGAGGCCGGATTTCCTTGCAGTGGCTTGAGTACAGGCTCGTCTTTGATCTGACAACATGAAGGGATGTCTGAATCCCCTGTGGAGACCTTAGAGAAAGCCCTAGGTCCCTGCCTCATTTTGACGGAATCCTCACATCCCGCTGACACCTCGAGAGGCACGCGGAGTTCATTGCTTCAAAAGGTGACGATGCCTGACTCCTCTTGAATACTGATAGGAATCCCAAAATCCCTGTGGCTACTGGAAAGGGTCCTTGGGTGCCCTGCCTCACCTCGAGAAGCGTCCCTTTTGCCCTGCCAAGCCTCGAAGAGATTCCTGAGGTGTCCCTCGTTACTAGGCAGGAGTCCTGACGTCACTGGAGAAACTCGTGTTTTGAAGGGCCATCCCCGCCGTAAGTCGAGAACATACCCCAGGTCCCCGCCGCAACTCGAGAAAAACCATGAGACTTCCCCCTATAGGCGAGATGAGGCCCCATTCCCCTGCAGTGCATGCAGAGCTATTCCGTGATCCCATTCAAACAAGTCAGGAGCTTCGACTTGCTTAATGGATCTCGAGGCAGTCCCCAAGAACACTGTCACCAGTCTAGACGGACCCTGAGGTCACCCCAGCAACGCAAAGCAGCTCCAGGTGCCACAAATCAACTCGAGATGAGGCCCGGTTCCCCTGCATTGACTCCAGAGCCAATCCCCGTTCCCCATTCAACACGACCGGTGGCTCGACTTCCTTCAGGCAACTCCAGAGATGCCCAGAGAACACTGTCCCAAGTCTAGAGGAACACCAACTTCAGCACAGCAACTCGAGGAATGCTCTGTGTACCCCAAATCGTCTCGAGATGAGAGCTGAATCCCTGGCTTAGGCTCAAGACGTATGCCAACTTTCCAGAAGCACCTCAGGAGGAGGCTTCTCTCAGCAATAGGTATGTGGGAGGGACTCCGAGATTGCTGCCTCAAGGGGAATATACAGCGAGAAGCCCTAACTTGAAAGGAGGCCGGATTTCCTTGCAGTGGTTTGAATACAGGCTCGTCTTTCATCTCACAACATGAAGGGATGTCTGAATGCCCTGTGGAGACCTTAGAGAAAGCCCTAGGTCCCTGCCTCATTTTGACGGAATCCTCACATCCCGCTGACACCTCGAGAGGCACGCGGAGTTCATTGCTTCAAAAGGTGACGATGCCTGACTCCTCTTGAATACTGATAGGAATCCCAAAATCCCTGTGGCTAATGGAAAGGGTCCTTGGGTGCCCTGGCTCACCTCGAGAAGCGTCCCTTTTGCCCTGCCAAGCCTCGAAGAGATTGCTGAGGTGTCCCTCGTTACTAGACAGGAGTCCTCACGTCACGGAAGAAACTCGTGTTTTGAAGGGCCATCCCCGCCGTAAGTCGAGAACATACCCCAGGTCCCCGCCGCAACTCGAGAAAAACCATGAGACTTCCCCCTAGAGGCGAGATGAGGCCCCATTCCCCTGCAGTGCATGCAGAGCTATTCCGTGATCCCATTCAAACAAGTCAGGAGCTTCGACTTGCTTAATGGATCTCGAGACAGTCCCCAAGAACACTGTCACCAGTCTAGACGGACCCTGAGGTCACCCAGCAATGCAAAGCAGCTCCATGTGCCCCAAATCAACTCGAGATGAGGCCGGATTCCCCTGCATTGACTCCAGCGCCATTCCTTGTTCCCCATTCAACACGACCGGTGGCTCGACTTCCTTCAGGCAACTCCAGAGATGCCCCGAGAACACTGTCCCAAGTCTAGAGGACCACCAACTTCAGCACAGCAACTCGAGGAATGCTCTGTGTACCCCAAATCGTCTCGAGATGAGAGCTGATTCCCTGGCTTAGGCTCAAGACGTATGCCAACTTTCCAGAAGCACCTCAGGAGGAGGCTTCTCAGCAATAGGTATGTGGGAGGGACTCCGAGTTTGCTGCCTCAAGGGGAATATACAGCGAGAAGCCCTAACTTGAAAGGAGGCCGGATTTCCTTGCAGTAGCTTGAATACAGGCTCGTCTTTCATCTCACAACATGAAGGGATGTCTGAATCCCCTGTGGAGACCTTAGAGAAAGCCCTAGGTCCCTACCTCATTTTGACGGAATGCCTCACATCCCGCTGACACCTCGAGAGGCACGCGGAGTTCATTGCTTCAAAAGGTGACGATGCCTGACTCCTCTTGAATACTGATAGGAATCCCAAAATCCCTGTGGCTACTGGAAAGGGTCCTTGGGTGCCCTGCCTCACCTCGAGAAGCGTCCCTTTTGCCCTGCCAAGACTCGAAGAGATTCCTGAGGTGTCCCTCGTTACTAGGCAGGAGTCCTGACGTCACTGAAGAAACTCGTGTTTTGAAGGGCCATCCCTGCCGTAAGTCGAGAACATACCCCAGGTCCCCGCCGCAACTCGAGAAAAACCATGAGACTTCCCCCTAGAGGCGAGATGAGGCCCCATTCCCCTGCAGTGCATGCAGAGCTATTCCGTGATCCCATTCAAACAAGTCAGGAGCTTCGACTTGCTTAATGGATCTCGAGACAGTCCCCAAGAACACTGTCACCAGTCTAGACGGACCCTGAGGTCAGCCCAGCAACGCAAAGCAGCTCCATGTGCCCCAAATCAACTCGAGATGAGGCCCGATTCCCCTGCATTGACTCCAGAGCCATTCCTTGTTCCCCATTCAACACGACCGGTGGCTCGACTTCCTTCAGGCAACTCCAGGGATGCCCCGAGGACACTGTCCCAAGTCTAGAGGAACACCAACTTCAGCACAGCAACTCGAGGAATGCTCTGTGTACCCCAAATCGTCTCGAGATGAGAGCTGATTCCCTGGCTTAGGCTCAAGACGTATGCCACCTTTCCAGAAGCACCTCAGGAGGAGTCTTCTCTCAGCAATAGGTATGTGGGAGGGACCCCGAGTTTGCTGCCTCAAGGGGAATATACAGCGAGAAGCCCTAACTTGACAGGAGGCCGGATTTCCTTGCAGTGGCTTGAGTACAGGCTCGTCTTTGATCTGACAACATGAAGGGATGTCTGAATCCCCTGTGGAGACCTTAGAGAAAGCCCTAGGTCCCTGCCTCATTTTGACGGAATGCCTCACATCCCGCTGACACCTCGAGAGGCACGCGGAGTTCATTGCTTCAAAAGGTGACGATGCCTGACTCCTCTTGAATACTGATAGGAATCCCAAAATCCCTGTGGCTACTGGAAAGGGTCCTTGGGTGCCCTGCCTCACCTCGAGAAGCGTCCCTTTTGCCCTGCCAAGCCTCGAAGAGATTCCTGAGGTGTCCCTCGTTACTAGGCAGGAGTCCTGACGTCACTGGAGAAACTCGTGTTTTGAAGGGCCATCCCCGCCGTAAGTCGAGAACATACCCCAGGTCCCCGCCGCAACTCGAGAAAAACCATGAGACTTCCCCCTAGAGGCGAGATGAGGCCCCATTCCCCTGCAGTGCATGCAGAGCTATTCCGTGATCCCATTCAAACAAGTCAGGAGCTTCGACTTGCTTAATGGATCTCGAGGCAGTCCCCAAGAACACTGTCACCAGTCTAGACGGACCCTGAGGTAACCCAGCAATGCAAAGCAGCTCCAGGTGCCACAAATCAACTCGAGATGAGGCCCGATTCCCCTGCATTGACTCCAGAGCCAATCCCCGTTCCCCATTCAACACGACCGGTGGCTCGACTTCCTTCAGGCAACTCCAGAGATGCCCAGAGAACACTGTCCCAAGTCTAGAGGAACACCAACTTCAGCACAGCAACTCGAGGAATGCTCTGTGTACCCCAAATCGTCTCGAGATGAGAGCTGAATCCCTGGCTTAGGCTCAAGACGTATGCCAACTTTCCAGAAGCACCTCAGGAGGAGGCTTCTCTCAGCAATAGGTATGTGGGAGGGACTCCGAGATTGCTGCCTCAAGGGGAATATACAGCGAGAAGCCCTAACTTGAAAGGAGGCCGGATTTCCTTGCAGTGGCTTGAATACAGGCTCGTCTTTCATCTCACAACATGAAGGGATGTCTGAATCCCCTGTGGAGACCTTAGAGAAAGCCCTAGGTCCCTGCCTCATTTTGACGGAATCCTCACATCCCGCTGACACCTCGAGAGGCACCCGGAGTTCATTGCTTCAAAAGGTGACGATGCCTGACTCCTCTTGAATACTGATAGGAATCCCAAAATCCCTGTGGCTAATGGAAAGGGTCCTTGGGTGCCCTGGCTCACCTCGAGAAGCGTCCCTTTTGCCCTGCCAAGCCTCGAAGAGATTGCTGAGGTGTCCCTCGTTACTAGACAGGAGTCCTCACGTCACGGAAGAAACTCGTGTTTTGAAGGGCCATCCCCGCCGTAAGTCGAGAACATACCCCAGGTCCCCGCCGCAACTCGAGAAAAACCATGAGACTTCCCCCTAGAGGCGAGATGAGGCCCCATTCCCCTGCAGTGCATGCAGAGCTATTCCGTGATCCCATTCAAACAAGTCAGGAGCTTCGACTTGCTTAATGGATCTCGAGACAGTCCCCAAGAACACTGTCACCAGTCTAGACGGACCCTGAGGTCACCCCAGCAACGCAAAGCAGCTCCATGTGCCCCAAATCAACTCGAGATGAGGCCCGATTCCCCTGCATTGACTCCAGAGCCATTCCTTGTTCCCCATTCAACACGACCGGTGGGTCGACTTCCTTCAGGGAACTCCAGGGATGCCCCGAGAACACTGTCCCAAGTCTAGAGGAACACCAACTTCAGCACAGCAACTCGAGGAATGCTCTGTGTACCCCAAATCGTCTCGAGATGAGAGCTGATTCCCTGGCTTAGGCTCAAGACGTATGCCACCTTTCCAGAAGCACCTCAGGAGGAGGCTTCTCTCAGCAATAGGTATGTGGGAGGGACCCCGAGTTTGCTGCCTCAAGGGGAATATACAGCGAGAAGCCCTAACTTGAAAGGAGGCCGGATTTCCTTGCAGTGGCTTGAGTACAGGCTCGTCTTTGATCTGACAACATGAAGCGATGTCTGAATCCCCTGTGGAGACCTTAGAGAAAGCCCTAGGTCCCTGCCTCATTTTGACGGAATGCCTCACATCCCGCTGACACCTCGAGAGGCACGCGGAGTTCATTGCTTCAAAAGGTGACGATGCCTGACTCCTCTTGAATACTGATAGGAATCCCAAAATCCCTGTGGCTACTGGAAAGGGTCCTTGGGTGCCCTGCCTCACCTCGAGAAGCGTCCCTTTTGCCCTGCCAAGCCTCGAAGAGATTCCTGAGGGGTCCCTCGTTACTAGGCAGGAGTCCTGACGTCACTGGAGAAACTCGTGTTTTGAAGGGCCATCCCCGCCGTAAGTCGAGAACATACCCCAGGTCCCCGCCGCAACTCGAGAAAAACCATGAGACTTCCCCCTATAGGCGAGATGAGGCCCCATTCCCCTGCAGTGCATGCAGAGCTATTCCGTGATCCCATTCAAACAAGTCAGGAGCTTCGACTTGCTTAATGGATCTCGAGGCAGTCCCCAAGAACACTGTCACCAGTCTAGACGGACCCTGAGGTCACCCCAGCAACGCAAAGCAGCTCCATGTGCCACAATTCAACTCGAGATGAGGCCCGATTCCCCTGCATTGACTCCAGAGCCAATCCCCGTTCCCCATTCAACACGACCGGTGGCTCGACTTCCTTCAGGCAACTCCAGAGATGCCCAGAGAACACTGTCCCAAGTCTAGAGGAACACCAACTTCAGCACAGCAACTCGAGGAATGCTCTGTGTACCCCAAATCGTCTCGAGATGAGAGCTGATTCCCTGGCTTAGGCTCAAGACGTATGCCACCTTTCCAGAAGCACCTCAGGAGGAGGCTTCTCTCAGCAATAGGTATGTGGGAGGGACCCCGAGTTTGCTGCCTCAAGGGGAATATACAGCGAGAAGCCCTAACTTGAAAGGAGGCCGGATTTCCTTGCAGTGTCTTGAGTACAGGCTCGTCTTTGATCTGACAACATGAAGGGATGTCTGAATCCCCTGTGGAGACCTTAGAGAAAGCCCTAGGTCCCTGCCTCATTTTGACGGAATGCCTCACATCCCGCTGACACCTCGAGAGGCACGCGGAGTTCATTGCTTCAAAAGGTGACGATGCCTGACTCCTCTTGAATACTGATAGGAATCCCAAAATCCCTGTGGCTACTGGAAAGGGTCCTTGGGTGCCCTGCCTCACCTCGAGAAGCGTCCCTTTTGCCCTGCCAAGCCTCGAAGAGATTCCTGAGGTGTCCCTCGTTACTAGGCAGGAGTCCTGACGTCACTGGAGAAACTCGTGTTTTGAAGGGCCATCCCCGCCGTAAGTCGAGAACATACCCCAGGTCCCCGCCGCAACTCGAGAAAAACCATGAGACTTCCCCCTATAGGCGAGATGAGGCCCCATTCCCCTGCAGTGCATGCAGAGCTATTCCGTGATCCCATTCAAACAAGTCAGGAGCTTCGACTTGCTTAATGGATCTCGAGGCAGTCCCCAAGAACACTGTCACCAGTCTAGACGGACCCTGAGGTCACCCCAGCAACGCAAAGCAGCTCCAGGTGCCACAAATCAACTCGAGATGAGGCCCGATTCCCCTGCATTGACTCCAGAGCCAATCCCCGTTCCCCATTCAACACGACCGGTGGCTCGACTTCCTTCAGGCAACTCCAGAGATGCCCAGAGAACACTGTCCCAAGTCTAGAGGAACACCAACTTCAGCACAGCAACTCGAGGAATGCTCTGTGTACCCCAAATCGTCTCGAGATGAGAGCTGAATCCCTGGCTTAGGCTCAAGACGTATGCCAACTTTCCAGAAGCACCTCAGGAGGAGGCTTCTCTCAGCAATAGGTATGTGGGAGGGACTCCGAGATTGCTGCCTCAAGGGGAATATACAGCGAGAAGCCCTAACTTGAAAGGAGGCCGGATTTCCTTGCAGTGGCTTGAATACAGGCTCGTCTTTCATCTCACAACATGAAGGGATGTCTGAATCCTCTGTGGAGACCTTAGAGAAAGCCCTAGGTCCCTGCCTCATTTTGACAGAATCCTCAAATCCCGCTGACACCTCGAGAGGCACGCGGAGTTCATTGCTTCAAAAGGTGACGATGCCTGACTCCTCTTGAATACTGATAGGAATCCCAAAATCCCTGTGGCTAATGGAAAGGGTCCTTGGGTGCCCTGGCTCACCTCGAGAAGCGTCCCTTTTGCCCTGCCAAGCCTCGAAGAGATTGCTGAGGTGTCCCTCGTTACTAGACAGGAGTCCTCACATCACGGAAGAAACTCGTGTTTTGAAGGGCCATCCCCGCCGTAAGTCGAGAACATACCCCAGGTCCCCGCCGCAACTCGAGAAAAACAATGAGACTTCCCCCTAGAGGCGAGATGAGGCCCCATTCCCCTGCAGTGCATGCAGAGCTATTCCGTGATCCCATTCAAACAAGTCAGGAGCTTCGACTTGCTTAATGGATCTCGAGACAGTCCCCAAGAACACTGTCACCAGTCTAGACGGACCCTGAGGTCACCCCAGCAACGCAAAGCTGCTCCATGTGCCCCAAATCAACTCGAGATGAGGCCCGATTCCCCTGCATTGACTCCAGAGCCATTCCCCGTTCCCCATTCAACACGACCGGTGGCTCGACTTCCTTCAGGCAACTGCAGAGATGCCCCGAGAACACTGCCCCAAGTCTAGAGGAACACCAACTTCAGCACAGCAACTCGAGGAATGCTCCGTGTACCCCAAATCATCTCGAGATGAGAGCTGATTCTCTGGCTTAGGCTCAAGACGTATGCCAACTTTCCAGAAGCACCTCAGCAGGAGGCTTCTCTCAGCAATAGGTATGTGGGAGCGACCCCGAGTTTGCTGCCTCAAGGGGAATACACAGGGAGAAGCCCTAACGTGAACGGAGGCCAGATTTCCTTGCAGTGGCTTGAATAAAGGCTCGTCTTCGATCTGAAAACATGAAGGGATGTCTGAATCCCCTGTGGAGAACTTAGAGGAAGCCCTAGGTCCCTGCCTCATTTTGACGGAATACCTCACATCCCCCTGACACCTCGAAAGGCACGCAGAGTTCATTGCTTCAAAAGGTGACGATGCCTGACTCCTCTTGAATACTTATAGGAATCCCAAAATCCCTGTTGCTACTGGAAACGGTCCTTGGGTGCCCTGGCTCACCTCGAGAAGCGTCCCTTTTGCCCTGCCAAGCCTCGAAGAAATTGCTGAGGTGTCCCTCGTTACTAGACAGGAGTCCTGACGTCACCGAAGAAACTCGTGTTTTGAAGGGCCATCCCCGCCGTAAGTCGAGAACATACCCCAGGTCCCCGCCGCAACTCGAGAAAAACCATGAGACTTCCCCCTAGAGGCGAGATGAGGCCCCATTCCCCTGCAGTGCATGCAGAGCTATTCCGTGATCCCATTCAAACAAGTCAGGAGCTTCGACTTGCTTAATGGATCTCGAGACAGTCCCCAAGAACACTGTCACCAGTCTAGACGGACCCTGAGGTCACCCCAGCAACGCAAAGCTGCTCCATGTGCCCCAAATCAACTCGAGATGAGGCCCGATTCCCCTGCATTGACTCCAGAGCCATTCCCCGTTCCCCATTCAACACGACCGGTGGCTCGACTTCCTTCAGGCAACTGCAGAGATGCCCCGAGAACACTGCCCCAAGTCTAGAGGAACACCAACTTCAGCACAGCAACTCGAGGAATGCTCCGTGTACCCCAAATCATCTCGAGATGAGAGCTGATTCTCTGGCTTAGGCTCAAGACGTATGCCAACTTTCCAGAAGCACCTCAGCAGGAGGCTTCTCTCAGCAATAGGTATGTGGGAGCGACCCCGAGTTTGCTGCCTCAAGGGGAATACACAGGGAGAAGCCCTAACGTGAACGGAGGCCAGATTTCCTTGCAGTGGGTTGAATAAAGGCTCGTCTTCGATCTGAAAACATGAAGGGATGTCTGAATCCCCTGTGGAGAACTTAGAGGAAGCCCTAGGTCCCTGCCTCATTTTGACGGAATACCTCACATCCCCCTGACACCTCGAGAGGCACGCAGAGTTCATTGCTTCAAAAGGTGACGATGCCTGACTCCTCTTGAATACTTATAGGAATCCCAAAATCCCTGTTGCTACTGGAAAGGGTCCTTGGGTGCCCTGGCTCACCTCGAGAAGCGTCCCTTTTGCCCTGCCAAGCCTCGAAGAAATTGCTGAGGTGTCCCTCGTTACTAGACAGGAGTCCTGACGTCACCGAAGAAACTCGTGTTTTGAAGGGCCATCCCCGCCGTAAGTCGAGAACATACCCCAGGTCCCCGCCGCAACTCGAGAAAAACCATGAGACTTCCCGCTAGAGGCGAGATGAGGCCCCATTCCCCTGCAGTGCATGCAGAGCTATTCCGTGATCCCATTCAAACAAGTCAGGAGCTTCGACTTGCTTAATGGATCTCGAGACAGTCCCCAAGAACACTGTCACCAGTCTAGACGGACCCTGAGGTCACCCCAGCAACGCAAAGCAGCTCCATGTGCCCCAAATCAACGCGAGATGAGGCCCGATTCCCCTGCATTGACTCCAGAGCCATTCCCCGTTCCCCATTCAACACGAACGGAGGCTCGCCTTCCTTCAGGCAACTACAGAGATGCCCCGAGAACACTGTCCCAAGTCTAGAGGAACACCAACTTCAGCACAGCAACTCGAGGAATGCTCTGTGTACCCCAAGTCGTCTCGAGATGAGAGCTGATTCCCTGGCTTAGGCTCAAGACGTATGCCAACTTTCCAGAAGCACCTCAGGAGGAGGCTTCTCAGCAATAGGTATGTGGGAGGGACTCCGAGTTTGCTGCCTCAAGGGGAATATACAGCGAGAAGCCCTAACTTGAAAGGAGGCCGGATTTCCTTGCAGTAGCTTGAATACAGGCTCGTCTTTCATCTCACAACATGAAGGGATGTCTGAATCCCCTGTGGAGACCTTAGAGAAAGCCCTAGATCCCTACCTCATTTTGACGGAATGCCTCACATCCCGCTGACACCTCGAGAGGCACGCGGAGTTCATTGCTTCAAAAGGTGACGATGCCTGACTCCTCTTGAATACTGATAGGAATCCCAAAATCCCTGTGGCTAATGGAAAGGGTCCTTGGGTGCCCTGGCTCACCTCGAGAAGCGTCCCTTTTGCCCTGCCAAGCCTCGAAGAGATTGCTGAGGTGTCCCTCGTTACTAGACAGGAGTCCTCACGTCACGGAAGAAACTCGTGTTTTGAAGGGCCATCCCCGCCGTAAGTCGAGAACATACCCCAGGTCCCCGCCGCAACTCGAGAAAAACCATGAGACTTCCCCCTAGAGGCGAGATGAGGCCCCATTCCCCTGCAGTGCATGCAGAGCTATTCCGTGATCCCATTCAAACAAGTCAGGAGCTTCGACTTGCTTAATGGATCTCGAGACAGTCCCCAAGAACACTGTCACCAGTCTAGACGGACCCTGAGGTCACCCCAGCAACGCAAAGCAGCTCCATGTGCCCCAAATCAACTCGAGATGAGGCCCGATTCCCCTGCATTGACTCCAGAGCCATTCCTTGTTCCCCATTCAACACGACCGGTGGCTCGACTTCCTTCAGGCAACTCCAGAGATGCCCAGAGAACACTGTCCCAAGTCTAGAGGAACACCAACTTCAGCACAGCAACTCGAGGAATGCTCTGTGTACCCCAAATCGTCTCGAGATGAGAGCTGAATCCCTGGCTTAGGCTCAAGACGTATGCCAACTTTCCAGAAGCACCTCAGGAGGAGGCTTCTCTCAGCAATAGGTATGTGGGAGGGACTCCGAGATTGCTGCCTCAAGGGGAATATACAGCGAGAAGCCCTAACTTGAAAGGAGGCCGGATTTCCTTGCAGTGGCTTGAATACAGGCTCGTCTTTCATCTCACAACATGAAGGGATGTCTGAATCCCCTGTGGAGACCTTAGAGAAAGCCCTAGGTCCCTGCCTCATTTTGACAAAATCCTCAAATCCCGCTGACACCTCGAGAGGCACGCGGAGTTCATTGCTTCAAAAGGTGACGATGCCTGACTCCTCTTGAATACTGATAGGAATCCCAAAATCCCTGTGGCTAATGGAAAGGGTCCTTGGGTGCCCTGGCTCACCTCGAGAAGCGTCCCTTTTGCCCTGCCAAGCCTCGAAGAGATTGCTGAGGTGTCCCTCGTTACTAGACAGGAGTCCTCACGTCACGGAAGAAACTCGTGTTTTGAAGGGCCATCCCCGCCGTAAGTCGAGAACATACCCCAGGTCCCCGCCGCAACTCGAGAAAAACCATGAGACTTCCCCCTAGAGGCGAGATGAGGCCCCATTCCCCTGCAGTGCATGCAGAGCTATTCCGTGATCCCATTCAAACAAGTCAGGAGCTTTGACTTGCTTAATGGATCTCGAGACAGTCCCCAAGAACACTGTCACCAGTCTAGACGGACCCTGAGGTCACCCCAGCAACGCAAAGCAGCTCCATGTGCCCCAAATCAACTCGAGATGAGGCCCGATTCCCCTGCATTGACTCCAGAGCCATTCCTTGTTCCCCATTCAACACGACCGGTGGCTCGACTTCCTTCAGGCAACTCCAGAGATGCCCAGAGAACACTGTCCCAAGTCTAGAGGAACACCAACTTCAGCACAGCAACTCGAGGAATGCTCTGTGTACCCCAAATCGTCTCGAGATGAGAGCTGAATCCCTGGCTTAGGCTCAAGACGTATGCCAACTTTCCAGAAGCACCTCAGGAGGAGGCTTCTCTCAGCAATAGGTATGTGGGAGGGACTCCGAGATTGCTGCCTCAAGGGGAATATACAGCGAGAAGCCCTAACTTGAAAGGAGGCCGGATTTCCTTGCAGTGGCTTGAATACAGGCTCGTCTTTCATCTCACAACATGAAGGGATGTCTGAATCCCCTGTGGAGACCTTAGAGAAAGCCCTAGGTCCCTGCCTCATTTTGACAAAATCCTCAAATCCCGCTGACACCTCGAGAGGCACGCGGAGTTCATTGCTTCAAAAGGTGACGATGCCTGACTCCTCTTGAATACTGATAGGAATCCCAAAATCCCTGTGGCTAATGGAAAGGGTCCTTGGGTGCCCTGGCTCACCTCGAGAAGCGTCCCTTTTGCCCTGCCAAGCCTCGAAGAGATTGCTGAGGTGTCCCTCGTTACTAGACAGGAGTCCTCACGTCACGGAAGAAACTCGTGTTTTGAAGGGCCATCCCCGCCGTAAGTCGAGAACATACCCCAGGTCCCCGCCGCAACTCGAGAAAAACCATGAGACTTCCCCCTAGAGGCGAGATGAGGCCCCATTCCCCTGCAGTGCATGCAGAGCTATTCCGTGATCCCATTCAAACAAGTCAGGAGCTTCGACTTGCTTAATGGATCTCGAGACAGTCCCCAAGAACACTGTCACCAGTCTAGACGGACCCTGAGGTCACCCCAGCAACGCAAAGCAGCTCCATGTGCCCCAAATCAACGCGAGATGAGGCCCGATTCCCCTGCATTGACTCCAGAGCCATTCCCCGTTCCCCATTCAACACGAACGGAGGCTCGCCTTCCTTCAGGCAACTACAGAGATGCCCCGAGAACACTGTCCCAAGTCTAGAGGAACACCAACTTCAGCACAGCAACTCGAGGAATGCTCTGTGTACCCCAAGTCGTCTCGAGATGAGAGCTGATTCCCTGGCTTAGGCTCAAGACGTATGCCAACTTTCCAGAAGCACCTCAGGAGGAGGCTTCTCAGCAATAGGTATGTGGGAGGGACTCCGAGTTTGCTGCCTCAAGGGGAATATACATCGAGAAGCCCTAACTTGAAAGGAGGCCGGATTTCCTTGCAGTAGCTTGAATACAGGCTCGTCTTTGATCTGACAACATGAAGGGATGTCTGAATCCCCTGTGGAGACCTTAGAGAAAGCCCTAGGTCCCTGCCTCATTTTGACGGAATCCTCACATCCCGCTGACACCTCGAGAGGCACGCGGAGTTCATTGCTTCAAAAGGTGACGATGCCTGACTCCTCTTGAATACTGATAGGAATCCCAAAATCCCTGTGGCTACTGGAAAGGGTCCTTGGGTGCCCTGCCTCACCTCGAGAAGCGTCCCTTTTGCCCTGCCAAGCCTCGAAGAGATTGCTGAGGTGTCCCTCGTTACTAGACAGGAGTCCTGACGTCACTGAAGAAACTCGTGTTTTGAAGGGCCATCCCCGCCGTAAGTCGAGAACATACCCCAGGTCCCCGCCGCAACTCGAGAAAAAACATGAGACTTCCCCCTAGAGGCGAGATGAGGCCCCATTCCCCTGCAGTGCATGCAGAGCTATTCCGTGATCCCATTCAAACAAGTCAGGAGCTTCGACTTGCTTAATGGATCTCGAGACAGTCCCCAAGAACACTGTCACCAGTCTAGACGGACCCTGAGGTCACCGCAGCAACGCAAAGCAGCTCCATGTGCCCCACATCAACTCGAGATGAGGCCCGATTCCCCTGCATTGACTCCAGAGCCATTCCCCGTTCCCCGTTCAACACGAACGGAGGCTCGCCTTCCTTCAGGCAACTCCAGAGATGCCCCGAGAACACTGTCCCAAGTCTAGAGGAACACCAACTTCAGCACAGCAACTCGAGGAATGCTCTGTGTACCCCAAATCGTCTCGAGATGAGAGCTGATTCCCTGGCTTAGGCTCAAGACGTATGCCAACTTTCCAGAAGCACCTCAGGAGGAGGCTTCTCAGCAATAGGAATGTGGGAGGGACTCCGAGTTTGCTGCCTCAAGGGGAATATACATCGAGAAGCCCTAACTTGAAAGGAGGCCGGATTTCCTTGCAGTAGCTTGAATACAGGCTCGTCTTTGATCTGACAACATGAAGGGATGTCTGAATCCCCTGTGGAGACCTTAGAGAAAGCCGTAGGTCCCTGCCTCATTTTGACGGAATCCTCACATCCCGCTGACACCTCGAGAGGCACGCGGAGTTCATTGCTTCAAAAGGTGACGATGCCTGACTCCTCTTGAATACTGATAGGAATCCCAAAATCCCTGTGGCTCCTGGAAAGGGTCCTTGGGTGCCCTGCCTCACCTCGATAAGCGTCCCTTTTGCCCTGCCAAGCCTCGAAGAGATTCCTGAGGTGTCCCTCGTTACTAGACAGGAGTCCTGATGACACTGAAGAAACTCGTGTTTTGAAGGGCCATCCCCGCCGTAAGTCGAGAACATACCTCAGGTCCCCGCCGCAACTCGAGAAAAACCATGAGACTTCCCCCTAGAGGCGAGATGAGGCCCCATTCCCCTGCAGTGCATGCAGAGCTATTCCGTGATCCCATTCAAACAAGTCAGGAGCTTCGACTTGCTTAATGGATCTCGAGACAGTCCCCAAGAACACTGTCACCAGTCTAGACGGACCCTGAGGTCACCCAGCAATGCAAAGCAGCTCCATGTGCCCCAAATCAACTCGAGATGAGGCCCGATTCCCCTGCATTGACTCCAGAGCCATTCCTTGTTCCCCATTCAACACGACCGGTGGCTCGACTTCCTTCAGGCAACTCCAGAGATGCCCCGAGAACACTGTCCCAAGTCTAGAGGACCACCAACTTCAGCACAGCAACTCGAGGAATGCTCTGTGTACCCCAAATCGTCTCGAGATGAGAGCTGATTCCCTGGCTTAGGCTCAAGACGTATGCCAACTTTCCAGAAGCACCTCAGGAGGAGGCTTCTCTCAGCAATAGGTATGTGGGAGGGACCCCGAGTTTGCTGCCTCAAGGGGAATATACAGCGAGAAGCCCTAACTTGAAAGGAGGCCGGATTTCCTTGCAGTGGCTTGAATACAGGCTCGTCTTTTATCTCACAACATGAAGGGATGTCTGAATCCCCTGTGGAGACCTCAGAGAAAGCCCTAGGTCCCTGCCTCATTTTGACGGAATCCTCACATCCCCCTGACACCTCGAGAGGCACGCGGAGTTCATTGCTTCAAAAGGTGACGATGCCTGACTCCTCTTGAATACTTATAGGAATCCCAAAATCCCTGTGGCTACTGGAAAGGGTCCTTGGGTGCCCTGGCTCACCTCGAGAAGCGTCCCTTTTGCCCTGCCAAGCCTCGAAGAGATTGCTGAGGTGTCCCTCGTTACTAGACAGGAGTCCTGACGTCACTGAAGAAACTCGTGTTTTGAAGGACCATCCCCGCCTTAAGTCGAGAACATACCCCAGGTCCCCGCCGCAACTCGAGAAAAACCATGAGACTTCCCCCTAGAGGCGAGATGAGGCCCCATTCCCTTGCAGTGCATGCAGAGCTATTCCGTGATCCCATTCAAACAAGTCAGGAGCTTCGACTTGCTTAATGGATCTCGAGACAGTCCCCAAGAACACTGTCACCAGTCTAGACGCACCCTGAGGTCACCCCAGCAACGCAAAGCTGCTCCATGTGCCCCAAATCAACTCGAGATGAGGCCCGATTCCCCTGCATTGACTCCAGAGCCATTCCCCGTTCCCCATTCAACAGGACCGGTGGCTCGCTTTCCTTCAGGCAACTCCAGAGATGCCCCGAGAACACTCTCCCAAGTCTAGAGGAACACCAACTTCAGCACAGCAACTCGAGGAATGCTCTGTGTACCACAAATCGTCTCGAGATGAGAGCTGATTCCCTGGCTTAGGCTCAAGACGTATGCCAACTTTCCAGAAGCACCTCAGGAGGAGGCTTCTCTGAGCAATAGGTATGTGGGAGGGACCCCGAGTTTGCTGCCCCAAGGGGAATATACAGTGAGAAGCCCTAACTTGAAAGGAGGCCGGATTTCCTTGCAGTGGCTTGAATACAGGCTCGTCTTTCATCTCACAACCTGAAGGAATGTCTGAATCCCCTGTGGAGACCTTAGAGGAAGCCCTAGATCACTGCCTCATTTTGACGGAATCCTCACATCCCCCTGACACCTCGAGAGGCACGCGGAGTTCATTGCTTCAAAAGGTGACGATGCCTGACTCCTCTTGAATACTGATAGGAATCCCAAAATCCCTGTGGCTACTGGAAAGGGTCCTTGGGTGCCCTGGCTCACCTCGAGAAGCGTCCCTTTTGCCCTGCCAAGCCTCGAAGAGATTGCTGAGGTGTCCCTCGTTACTAGACAGGAGTCCTGACGTCACGGAAGAAACTCGTGTTTTGAAGGGCCATCCCCGCCGTAAGTCGAGAACATACCCCAGGTCCCCGCCGCAACTCGAGAAAAACCATGAGACTTCCCCCTAGAGGCGAGATGAGGCCCCATTCCCCTGCAGTGCATGCAGAGCTATTCCGTGATCCCATTCAAACAAGTCAGGAGCTTCGACTTGCTTAATGGATCTCGAGACAGTCCCCAAGAACACTGTCACCAGTCTAGACGGACCCTGAGGTCACCCCAGCAACGCAAAGCAGCTCCATGTGCCCCAAATCAACTCGAGATGAGGCCCGATTCCCCTGCATTGACTCCAGAGCCATTCCCCGTTCCCCATTCAACACGAACGGAGGCTCGCCTTCCTTCAGGCAACTACAGAGATGCCCCGAGAACACTCTCCCAAGTCTAGAGGAACACCAACTTCAGCACAGCAACTCGAGGAATGCTCTGTGTACCTCAAGTCGTCTCGAGATGAGAGCTGATTCCCTGGCTTAGGCTCAAGATGTATGCCAAATTTCCAGAAGCACCTCAGGAGGAGGCTTCTCAGCAATAGGTATGTGGGAGGGACTCCGAGTTTGCTGCCTCAAGGGGAATATACAGCGAGAAGCCCTAACTTGAAAGGAGGCCGGATTTCCTTGCAGTAGCTTGAATACAGGCTCGTCTTTCATCTCACAACATGAGGGATGTCTGAATCCCCTGTGGAGACCTTAGAGAAAGCCCTAGGTCCCTACCTCATTTTGACGGAATGCCTCACATCCCGCTGACACCTCGAGAGGCACGCGGAGTTCATTGCTTCAAAAGGTGACGATGCCTGACTCCTCTTGAATACTGATAGGAATCCCAAAATCCCTGTGGCTACTGGAAAGGGTCCTTGGGTGCCCTGCCTCACCTCGAGAAGCGTCCCTTTTGCCCTGCCAAGACTCGAAGAGATTCCTGAGGTGTCCCTCGTTACTAGGCAGGAGTCCTGACGTCACTGAAGTAACTCGTGTTTGGAAGGGCCATCCCTGCCGTAAGTCGAGAACATACCCCAGGTCCCCGCCGCAACCCGAGAAAAACCATGAAACTTCCCCCTAGAGGCGAGATGAGGCCCCATTCCCCTGCAGTGCATGCAGAGCTATTCCGTGATCCCATTCAAACAAGTCAGGAGCTTCGACTTGCTTAATGGATCTCGAGGCAGTCCCCAAGAACACTGTCACCAGTCTAGACGGACCCTGAGGTCACCCCAGCAACGCAAAGCAGCTCCAGGTGCCACAAATCAACTCGAGATGAGGCCCGATTCCCCTGCATTGACTCCAGAGCCAATCCCCGTTCCCCATTCAACACGACCGGTGGCTCGACTTCCTTCAGGCAACTCCAGAGATGCCCAGAGAACACTGTCCCAAGTCTAGAGGAACACCAACTTCAGCACAGCAACTCGAGGAATGCTCTGTGTACCCCAAATCGTCTCGAGATGAGAGCTGAATCCCTGGCTTAGGCTCAAGACGTATGCCAACTTTCCAGAAGCACCTCAGGAGGAGGCTTCTCTCAGCAATAGGTATGTGGGAGGGACTCCGAAATTGCTGCCTCAAGGGGAATATACAGCGAGAAGCCCTAATTTGCAAGGAGGCCGGATTTCCTTGCAGTGGCTTGAGTACAGGCTCGTCTTTGATCTGACAACATGAAGGGATGTCTGAATCCCCTGTGGAGACCTTAGAGAAAGCCCTAGGTCCCTGCCTCATTTTGACGGAATCCTCACATCCCGCTGACACCTCGAGAGGCACGCGGAGTTCATTGCTTCAAAAGGTGACGATGCCTGACTCCTCTTGAATACTGATAGGAATCCCAAAATCCCTGTTGCTACTGGAAAGGGTCCTTGGGTGCCCTGCCTCACCTCGAGAAGCGTCCCTTTTGCCCTGCCAAGCCTCGAAGAGATTCCTGAGGTGTCCCTCGTTACTAGGCAGGAGTCCTGACGTCACTGGAGAAACTCGTGTTTTGAAGGGCCATCCCCGCCGTAAGTCGAGAACATACCCCAGGTCCCCGCCGCAACTCGAGAAAAACCATGAGACTTCCCCCTAGAGGCGAGATGAGGCCCCATTCCCCTGCAGTGCATGCAGAGCTATTCCGTGATCCCATTCAAACAAGTCAGGAGCTTCGACTTGCTTAATGGATCTCGAGACAGTCCCCAAGAACACTGTCACCAGTCTAGACGGACCCTGAGGTCACCCCAGCAACGCAAAGCAGCTCCATGTGCCCCAAATCAACTCGAGATGAGGCCCGATTCCCCTGCATTGACTCCAGAGCCATTCCTTGTTCCCCATTCAACACGACCGGTGGCTCGACTTCCTTCAGGCAACTCCAGGGATGCCCCGAGAACACTGTCCCAAGTCTAGAGGAACACCAACTTCAGCACAGCAACTCGAGGAATGCTCTGTGTACCCCAAATCGTCTCGAGATGAGAGCTGATGCCCTGGCTTAGGCTCAAGACGTATGCCACCTTTCCAGAAGCACCTCAGGAGGAGGCTTCTCTCAGCAATAGGTATGTGGGAGGGACCCCGAGTTTGCTGCCTCAAGGGGAATATACAGCGAGAAGCCCTAACTTGAAAGGAGGCCGGATTTCCTTGCAGTGGCTTGAGTACAGGCTCGTCTTTGATCTGACAACATGAAGGGATGTCTGAATCCCCTGTGGAGACCTTAGAGAAAGCCCTAGGTCCCTGCCTCATTTTGACGGAATGCCTCACATCCCGCTGACACCTCGAGAGGCACGCGGAGTTCATTGCTTCAAAAGGTGACGATGCCTGACTCCTCTTGAATACTGATAGGAATCCCAAAATCCCTGTGGCTACTGGAAAGGGTCCTTGGGTGCCCTGCCTCACCTCGAGAAGCGTCCCTTTTGCCCTGCCAAGCCTCGAAGAGATTCCTGAGGTGTCCCTCGTTACTAGGCAGGAGTCCTGACGTCACTGGAGAAACTCGTGTTTTGAAGGGCCATCCCCGCCGTAAGTCGAGAACATACCCCAGGTCCCCGCCGCAACTCGAGAAAAACCGTGAGACTTCCCCCTAGAGGCGAGATGAGGCCCCATTCCCCTGCAGTGCATGCAGAGCTATTCCGTGATCCCATTCAAACAAGTCAGGAGCTTCGACTTGCTTAATGGATCTCGAGACAGTCCCCAAGAACACTGTAACCAGTCTAGACGGACCCTGAGGTCACCCAGCAATGCAAAGCAGCTCCATGTGCCCCAAATCAACTCGAGATGAGGCCGGATTCCCCTGCATTGACTGCAGAGCCATTCCCCGTTCCCCATTCAACACGACCGGTGGCTCGACTTCCTTCAGGCAACTCCAGAGATCCCCCGAGAACACTGTCCCAAGTCTAGAGGAACACCAACTTCAGCACAGCAACTCGAGGAATGCTCCGTGTACCCGAAATCATCTCGAGATGAGAGCTGATTCCCTGGCTTAAGGTCAAGACGTATTCCAACTTTCCAGAAGCACCTCAGGACGAGGCTTCTCTCAGCAATAGGTATGTGGGAGGGACCCCGAGTTTGCTGCCTCAAGGGGAATACACAGGGAGAAGCCCTAATGTGAACGGAGGCCAGATTTCCTTGCAGTGGCTTGAATACAGGCTCGTCTTTCATCTCACAACATGAACGGATATCTGAATCCGCTGTGGAGACACTAGAGGAAGCCCTAGGTCCCTGCCTCATTTTGACGGAATCCTCACATCCCGCTGACACCTCGAGAGGCACGCGGAGTTCATTGCTTCAAAAGGTGACGATGCCTGACTCCTCTTGAATGCTGATAGGAATCCCAAAATCCCTGTGGCTACTGGAAAGGGTTCTTGGGTGCCCTGCCTCACCTCGAGAAGCGTCCCTTTTGCCCTGCCAAGCCTCGAAGAGTTTGCTGAGGTGTCCCTCGTTACTAGGCAGGAGTCCTGACGTCACTGGAGAAACTCGTGTTTTGAAGGGCCACCCCGCCGTAAGTCGAGAACATACCCCAGGTCCCCGCCGCAACTCGAGAAAAACCGTGAGACTTCCCCCTAGAGGGGAGATGAGGCCCCATTCCCCTGCAGTGCATGCAGAGCTATTCCGTGATCCCATTCAAACAAGTCAGGAGCTTCGACTTGCTTAATGGATCTCGAGACAGTCCCCAAGAACACTGTCACCAGTCTAGACGGACCCTGAGGTCACCGCAGCAACGCAAAGCAGCTCCATGTGCCCCACATCAACTCGAGATGAGGCCCGATTCCCCTGCATTGACTCCAGAGCCATTCCCCGTTCCCCATTCAACACGAACGGAGGCTCGCCTTCCTTCAGGCAACTCCAGAGATGCCCCGAGAACACTGTCCCAAGTCTAGAGGAACACCAACTTCAGCACAGCAACTCGAGGAATGCTCTGTGTACCCCAAATCGTCTCGAGATGAGAGCTGATTCCCTGGCTTAGGCTCAAGACGTATGCCAACTTTCCAGAAGCACCTCAGGAGGAGGCTTCTCAGCAATAGGTATGTGGGAGGGACTCCGAGTTTGCTGCCTCAAGGGGAATATACATCGAGAAGCCCTAACTTGAAAGGAGGCCGGATTTCCTTGCAGTAGCTTGAATACAGGCTCGTCTTTGATCTGACAACATGAAGGGATGTCTGAATCCCCTGTGGAGACCTTAGAGAAAGCCCTAGGTCCCTGCCTCATTTTGACGGAATCCTCACATCCCGCTGACACCTCGAGAGGCACGCGGAGTTCATTGCTTCAAAAGGTGACGATGCCTGACTCCTCTTGAATACTGATAGGAATCCCAAAATCCCTGTGGCTACTGGAAAGGGTCCTTGGGTGCCCTGCCTCACCTCGAGAAGCGTCCCTTTTGCCCTGCCAAGCCTCGAAGAGATTGCTGAGGTGTCCCTCGTTACTAGACAGGAGTCCTGACGTCACTGAAGAAACTCGTGTTTTGAAGGGCCATCCCCGCCGTAAGTCGAGAACATACCCCAGGTCCCCGCCGCAACTCGAGAAAAAACATGAGACTTCCCCCTAGAGGCGAGATGAGGCCCCATTCCCCTGCAGTGCATGCAGAGCTATTCCGTGATCCCATTCAAACAAGTCAGGAGCTTCGACTTGCTTAATGGATCTCGAGACAGTCCCCAAGAACACTGTCACCAGTCTAGACGGACCCTGAGGTCACCGCAGCAACGCAAAGCAGCTCCATGTGCCCCACATCAACTCGAGATGAGGCCCGATTCCCCTGCATTGACTCCAGAGCCATTCCCCGTTCCCCGTTCAACACGAACGGAGGCTCGCCTTCCTTCAGGCAACTCCAGAGATGCCCCGAGAACACTGTCCCAAGTCTAGAGGAACACCAACTTCAGCACAGCAACTCGAGGAATGCTCTGTGTACCCCAAATCGTCTCGAGATGAGAGCTGATTCCCTGGCTTAGGCTCAAGACGTATGCCAACTTTCCAGAAGCACCTCAGGAGGAGGCTTCTCAGCAATAGGAATGTGGGAGGGACTCCGAGTTTGCTGCCTCAAGGGGAATATACATCGAGAAGCCCTAACTTGAAAGGAGGCCGGATTTCCTTGCAGTAGCTTGAATACAGGCTCGTCTTTGATCTGACAACATGAAGGGATGTCTGAATCCCCTGTGGAGACCTTAGAGAAAGCCGTAGGTCCCTGCCTCATTTTGACGGAATCCTCACATCCCGCTGACACCTCGAGAGGCACGCGGAGTTCATTGCTTCAAAAGGTGACGATGCCTGACTCCTCTTGAATACTGATAGGAATCCCAAAATCCCTGTGGCTCCTGGAAAGGGTCCTTGGGTGCCCTGCCTCACCTCGATAAGCGTCCCTTTTGCCCTGCCAAGCCTCGAAGAGATTCCTGAGGTGTCCCTCGTTACTAGACAGGAGTCCTGATGACACTGAAGAAACTCGTGTTTTGAAGGGCCATCCCCGCCGTAAGTCGAGAACATACCTCAGGTCCCCGCCGCAACTCGAGAAAAACCATGAGACTTCCCCCTAGAGGCGAGATGAGGCCCCATTCCCCTGCAGTGCATGCAGAGCTATTCCGTGATCCCATTCAAACAAGTCAGGAGCTTCGACTTGCTTAATGGATCTCGAGACAGTCCCCAAGAACACTGTCACCAGTCTAGACGGACCCTGAGGTCACCCAGCAATGCAAAGCAGCTCCATGTGCCCCAAATCAACTCGAGATGAGGCCCGATTCCCCTGCATTGACTCCAGAGCCATTCCTTGTTCCCCATTCAACACGACCGGTGGCTCGACTTCCTTCAGGCAACTCCAGAGATGCCCCGAGAACACTGTCCCAAGTCTAGAGGACCACCAACTTCAGCACAGCAACTCGAGGAATGCTCTGTGTACCCCAAATCGTCTCGAGATGAGAGCTGATTCCCTGGCTTAGGCTCAAGACGTATGCCAACTTTCCAGAAGCACCTCAGGAGGAGGCTTCTCTCAGCAATAGGTATGTGGGAGGGACCCCGAGTTTGCTGCCTCAAGGGGAATATACAGCGAGAAGCCCTAACTTGAAAGGAGGCCGGATTTCCTTGCAGTGGCTTGAATACAGGCTCGTCTTTTATCTCACAACATGAAGGGATGTCTGAATCCCCTGTGGAGACCTCAGAGAAAGCCCTAGGTCCCTGCCTCATTTTGACGGAATCCTCACATCCCCCTGACACCTCGAGAGGCACGCGGAGTTCATTGCTTCAAAAGGTGACGATGCCTGACTCCTCTTGAATACTTATAGGAATCCCAAAATCCCTGTGGCTACTGGAAAGGGTCCTTGGGTGCCCTGGCTCACCTCGAGAAGCGTCCCTTTTGCCCTGCCAAGCCTCGAAGAGATTGCTGAGGTGTCCCTCGTTACTAGACAGGAGTCCTGACGTCACTGAAGAAACTCGTGTTTTGAAGGACCATCCCCGCCTTAAGTCGAGAACATACCCCAGGTCCCCGCCGCAACTCGAGAAAAACCATGAGACTTCCCCCTAGAGGCGAGATGAGGCCCCATTCCCTTGCAGTGCATGCAGAGCTATTCCGTGATCCCATTCAAACAAGTCAGGAGCTTCGACTTGCTTAATGGATCTCGAGACAGTCCCCAAGAACACTGTCACCAGTCTAGACGCACCCTGAGGTCACCCCAGCAACGCAAAGCTGCTCCATGTGCCCCAAATCAACTCGAGATGAGGCCCGATTCCCCTGCATTGACTCCAGAGCCATTCCCCGTTCCCCATTCAACAGGACCGGTGGCTCGCTTTCCTTCAGGCAACTCCAGAGATGCCCCGAGAACACTCTCCCAAGTCTAGAGGAACACCAACTTCAGCACAGCAACTCGAGGAATGCTCTGTGTACCACAAATCGTCTCGAGATGAGAGCTGATTCCCTGGCTTAGGCTCAAGACGTATGCCAACTTTCCAGAAGCACCTCAGGAGGAGGCTTCTCTGAGCAATAGGTATGTGGGAGGGACCCCGAGTTTGCTGCCCCAAGGGGAATATACAGTGAGAAGCCCTAACTTGAAAGGAGGCCGGATTTCCTTGCAGTGGCTTGAATACAGGCTCGTCTTTCATCTCACAACCTGAAGGAATGTCTGAATCCCCTGTGGAGACCTTAGAGGAAGCCCTAGATCACTGCCTCATTTTGACGGAATCCTCACATCCCCCTGACACCTCGAGAGGCACGCGGAGTTCATTGCTTCAAAAGGTGACGATGCCTGACTCCTCTTGAATACTGATAGGAATCCCAAAATCCCTGTGGCTACTGGAAAGGGTCCTTGGGTGCCCTGGCTCACCTCGAGAAGCGTCCCTTTTGCCCTGCCAAGCCTCGAAGAGATTGCTGAGGTGTCCCTCGTTACTAGACAGGAGTCCTGACGTCACGGAAGAAACTCGTGTTTTGAAGGGCCATCCCCGCCGTAAGTCGAGAACATACCCCAGGTCCCCGCCGCAACTCGAGAAAAACCATGAGACTTCCCCCTAGAGGCGAGATGAGGCCCCATTCCCCTGCAGTGCATGCAGAGCTATTCCGTGATCCCATTCAAACAAGTCAGGAGCTTCGACTTGCTTAATGGATCTCGAGACAGTCCCCAAGAACACTGTCACCAGTCTAGACGGACCCTGAGGTCACCCCAGCAACGCAAAGCTGCTCCATGTGCCCCAAATCAACTCGAGATGAGGCCCGATTCCCCTGCATTGACTCCAGAGCCATTCCCCGTTCCCCATTCAACACGACCGGTGGCTCGACTTCCTTCAGGCAACTGCAGAGATGCCCCGAGAACACTGCCCCAAGTCTAGAGGAACACCAACTTCAGCACAGCAACTCGAGGAATGCTCCGTGTACCCCAAATCATCTCGAGATGAGAGCTGATTCTCTGGCTTAGGCTCAAGACGTATGCCAACTTTCCAGAAGCACCTCAGCAGGAGGCTTCTCTCAGCAATAGGTATGTGGGAGCGACCCCGAGTTTGCTGCCTCAAGGGGAATACACAGGGAGAAGCCCTAACGTGAACGGAGGCCAGATTTCCTTGCAGTGGGTTGAATAAAGGCTCGTCTTCGATCTGAAAACATGAAGGGATGTCTGAATCCCCTGTGGAGAACTTAGAGGAAGCCCTAGGTCCCTGCCTCATTTTGACGGAATACCTCACATCCCCCTGACACCTCGAGAGGCACGCAGAGTTCATTGCTTCAAAAGGTGACGATGCCTGACTCCTCTTGAATACTTATAGGAATCCCAAAATCCCTGTTGCTACTGGAAAGGGTCCTTGGGTGCCCTGGCTCACCTCGAGAAGCGTCCCTTTTGCCCTGCCAAGCCTCGAAGAAATTGCTGAGGTGTCCCTCGTTACTAGACAGGAGTCCTGACGTCACCGAAGAAACTCGTGTTTTGAAGGGCCATCCCCGCCGTAAGTCGAGAACATACCCCAGGTCCCCGCCGCAACTCGAGAAAAACCATGAGACTTCCCGCTAGAGGCGAGATGAGGCTCCATTCCCCTGCAGTGCATGCAGAGCTATTCCGTGATCCCATTCAAACAAGTCAGGAGCTTCGACTTGCTTAATGGATCTCGAGACAGTCCCCAAGAACACTGTCACCAGTCTAGACGGACCCTGAGGTCACCCCAGCAACGCAAAGCAGCTCCATGTGCCCCAAATCAACTCGAGATGAGGCCCGATTCCCCTGCATTGACTCCAGAGCCATTCCCCGTTCCCCATTCAACACGAACGGAGGCTCGCCTTCCTTCAGGCAACTACAGAGATGCCCCGAGAACACTCTCCCAAGTCTAGAGGAACACCAACTTCAGCACAGCAACTCGAGGAATGCTCTGTGTACCTCAAGTCGTCTCGAGATGAGAGCTGATTCCCTGGCTTAGGCTCAAGATGTATGCCAAATTTCCAGAAGCACCTCAGGAGGAGGCTTCTCAGCAATAGGTATGTGGGAGGGACTCCGAGTTTGCTGCCTCAAGGGGAATATACAGCGAGAAGCCCTAACTTGAAAGGAGGCCGGATTTCCTTGCAGTAGCTTGAATACAGGCTCGTCTTTCATCTCACAACATGAGGGATGTCTGAATCCCCTGTGGAGACCTTAGAGAAAGCCCTAGGTCCCTACCTCATTTTGACGGAATGCCTCACATCCCGCTGACACCTCGAGAGGCACGCGGAGTTCATTGCTTCAAAAGGTGACGATGCCTGACTCCTCTTGAATACTGATAGGAATCCCAAAATCCCTGTGGCTACTGGAAAGGGTCCTTGGGTGCCCTGCCTCACCTCGAGAAGCGTCCCTTTTGCCCTGCCAAGACTCGAAGAGATTCCTGAGGTGTCCCTCGTTACTAGGCAGGAGTCCTGACGTCACTGAAGTAACTCGTGTTTGGAAGGGCCATCCCTGCCGTAAGTCGAGAACATACCCCAGGTCCCCGCCGCAACCCGAGAAAAACCATGAAACTTCCCCCTAGAGGCGAGATGAGGCCCCATTCCCCTGCAGTGCATGCAGAGCTATTCCGTGATCCCATTCAAACAAGTCAGGAGCTTCGACTTGCTTAATGGATCTCGAGGCAGTCCCCAAGAACACTGTCACCAGTCTAGACGGACCCTGAGGTCACCCCAGCAACGCAAAGCAGCTCCAGGTGCCACAAATCAACTCGAGATGAGGCCCGATTCCCCTGCATTGACTCCAGAGCCAATCCCCGTTCCCCATTCAACACGACCGGTGGCTCGACTTCCTTCAGGCAACTCCAGAGATGCCCAGAGAACACTGTCCCAAGTCTAGAGGAACACCAACTTCAGCACAGCAACTCGAGGAATGCTCTGTGTACCCCAAATCGTCTCGAGATGAGAGCTGAATCCCTGGCTTAGGCTCAAGACGTATGCCAACTTTCCAGAAGCACCTCAGGAGGAGGCTTCTCTCAGCAATAGGTATGTGGGAGGGACTCCGAAATTGCTGCCTCAAGGGGAATATACAGCGAGAAGCCCTAATTTGCAAGGAGGCCGGATTTCCTTGCAGTGGCTTGAGTACAGGCTCGTCTTTGATCTGACAACATGAAGGGATGTCTGAATCCCCTGTGGAGACCTTAGAGAAAGCCCTAGGTCCCTGCCTCATTTTGACGGAATCCTCACATCCCGCTGACACCTCGAGAGGCACGCGGAGTTCATTGCTTCAAAAGGTGACGATGCCTGACTCCTCTTGAATACTGATAGGAATCCCAAAATCCCTGTTGCTACTGGAAAGGGTCCTTGGGTGCCCTGCCTCACCTCGAGAAGCGTCCCTTTTGCCCTGCCAAGCCTCGAAGAGATTCCTGAGGTGTCCCTCGTTACTAGGCAGGAGTCCTGACGTCACTGGAGAAACTCGTGTTTTGAAGGGCCATCCCCGCCGTAAGTCGAGAACATACCCCAGGTCCCCGCCGCAACTCGAGAAAAACCATGAGACTTCCCCCTAGAGGCGAGATGAGGCCCCATTCCCCTGCAGTGCATGCAGAGCTATTCCGTGATCCCATTCAAACAAGTCAGGAGCTTCGACTTGCTTAATGGATCTCGAGACAGTCCCCAAGAACACTGTCACCAGTCTAGACGGACCCTGAGGTCACCCCAGCAACGCAAAGCAGCTCCATGTGCCCCAAATCAACTCGAGATGAGGCCCGATTCCCCTGCATTGACTCCAGAGCCATTCCTTGTTCCCCATTCAACACGACCGGTGGCTCGACTTCCTTCAGGCAACTCCAGGGATGCCCCGAGAACACTGTCCCAAGTCTAGAGGAACACCAACTTCAGCACAGCAACTCGAGGAATGCTCTGTGTACCCCAAATCGTCTCGAGATGAGAGCTGATGCCCTGGCTTAGGCTCAAGACGTATGCCACCTTTCCAGAAGCACCTCAGGAGGAGGCTTCTCTCAGCAATAGGTATGTGGGAGGGACCCCGAGTTTGCTGCCTCAAGGGGAATATACAGCGAGAAGCCCTAACTTGAAAGGAGGCCGGATTTCCTTGCAGTGGCTTGAGTACAGGCTCGTCTTTGATCTGACAACATGAAGGGATGTCTGAATCCCCTGTGGAGACCTTAGAGAAAGCCCTAGGTCCCTGCCTCATTTTGACGGAATGCCTCACATCCCGCTGACACCTCGAGAGGCACGCGGAGTTCATTGCTTCAAAAGGTGACGATGCCTGACTCCTCTTGAATACTGATAGGAATCCCAAAATCCCTGTGGCTACTGGAAAGGGTCCTTGGGTGCCCTGCCTCACCTCGAGAAGCGTCCCTTTTGCCCTGCCAAGCCTCGAAGAGATTCCTGAGGTGTCCCTCGTTACTAGGCAGGAGTCCTGACGTCACTGGAGAAACTCGTGTTTTGAAGGGCCATCCCCGCCGTAAGTCGAGAACATACCCCAGGTCCCCGCCGCAACTCGAGAAAAACCATGAGACTTCCCCCTATAGGCGAGATGAGGCCCCATTCCCCTGCAGTGCATGCAGAGCTATTCCGTGATCCCATTCAAACAAGTCAGGAGCTTCGACTTGCTTAATGGATCTCGAGGCAGTCCCCAAGAACACTGTCACCAGTCTAGACGGACCCTGAGGTCACCCCAGCAACGCAAAGCAGCTCCAGGTGCCACAAATCAACTCGAGATGAGGCCCGATTCCCCTGCATTGACTCCAGAGCCAATCCCCGTTCCCCATTCAACACGACCGGTGGCTCGACTTCCTTCAGGCAACTCCAGAGATGCCCAGAGAACACTGTCCCAAGTCTAGAGGAACACCAACTTCAGCACAGCAACTCGAGGAATGCTCTGTGTACCCCAAATCGTCTCGAGATGAGAGCTGAATCCCTGGCTTAGGCTCAAGACGTATGCCAACTTTCCAGAAGCACCTCAGGAGGAGGCTTCTCTCAGCAATAGGTATGTGGGAGGGACTCCGAGATTGCTGCCTCAAGGGGAATATACAGCGAGAAGCCCTAACTTGAAAGGAGGCCGGATTTCCTTGCAGTGGCTTGAATACAGGCTCGTCTTTCATCTCACAACATGAAGGGATGTCTGAATCCCCTGTGGAGACCTTAGAGAAAGCCCTAGGTCCCTGCCTCATTTTGACGGAATCCTCACATCCCGCTGACACCTCGAGAGGCACGCGGAGTTCATTGCTTCAAAAGGTGACGATGCCTGACTCCTCTTGAATACTGATAGGAATCCCAAAATCCCTGTGGCTAATGGAAAGGGTCCTTGGGTGCCCTGGCTCACCTCGAGAAGCGTCCCTTTTGCCCTGCCAAGCCTCGAAGAGATTGCTGAGGTGTCCCTCGTTACTAGACAGGAGTCCTCACGTCACGGAAGAAACTCGTGTTTTGAAGGGCCATCCCCACCGTAAGTCGAGAACATACCCCAGGTCCCCGCCGCAACTCGAGAAAAACCATGAGACTTCCCCCTAGAGGCGAGATGAGGCCCCATTCCCCTGCAGTGCATGCAGAGCTATTCCGTGATCCCATTCAAACAAGTCAGGAGCTTCGACTTGCTTAATGGATCTCGAGACAGTCCCCAAGAACACTGTCACCAGTCTAGACGGACCCTGAGGTCACCCCAGCAACGCAAAGCAGCTCCATGTGCCCCAAATCAACTCGAGATGAGGCCCGATTCCCCTGCATTGACTCCAGAGCCATTCCTTGTTCCCCATTCAACACGACCGGTGGCTCGACTTCCTTCAGGCAACTCCAGGGATGCCCCGAGAACACTGTCCCAAGTCTAGAGGAACACCAACTTCAGCACAGCAACTCGAGGAATGCTCTGTGTAAACCAAATCGTCTCGAGATGAGAGCTGATGCCCTGGCTTAGGCTCAAGACGTATGCCACCTTTCCAGAAGCACCTCAGGAGGAGGCTTCTCTCAGCAATAGGTATGTGGGAGGGACCCCGAGTTTGCTGCCTCAAGGGGAATATACAGCGAGAAGCCCTAACTTGAAAGGAGGCCGGATTTCCTTGCAGTGGCTTGAGTACAGGCTCGTCTTTGATCTGACAACATGAAGGGATGTCTGAATCCCCTGTGGAGACCTTAGAGAAAGCCCTAGGTCCCTGCCTCATTTTGACGGAATGCCTCACATCCCGCTGACACCTCGAGAGGCACGCGGAGTTCATTGCTTCAAAAGGTGACGATGCCTGACTCCTCTTGAATACTGATAGGAATCCCAAAATCCCTGTGGCTACTGGAAAGGGTCCTTGGGTGCCCTGCCTCACCTCGAGAAGCGTCCCTTTTGCCCTGCCAAGCCTCGAAGAGATTCCTGAGGTGTCCCTCGTTACTAGGCAGGAGTCCTGACGTCACTGGAGAAACTCGTGTTTTGAAGGGCCATCCCCGCCGTAAGTCGAGAACATACCCCAGGTCACCGCCGCAACTCGAGAAAAACCATGAGACTTCCCCCGATAGGCGAGATGAGGCCCCATTCCCCTGCAGTGCATGCAGAGCTATTCCGTGATCCCATTCAAACAAGTCAGGAGCTTCGACTTGCTTAATGGATCTCGAGGCAGTCCCCAAGAACACTGTCACCAGTCTAGACGGACCCTGAGGTCACCCCAGCAACGCAAAGCAGCTCCAGGTGCCACAAATCAACTCGAGATGAGGCCCGATTCCCCTGCATTGACTCCAGAGCCAATCCCCGTTCCCCATTCAACACGACCGGTGGCTCGACTTCCTTCAGGCAACTCCAGAGATGCCCAGAGAACACTGTCCCAAGTCTAGAGGAACACCAACTTCAGCACAGCAACTCGAGGAATGCTCTGTGTACCCCAAATCGTCTCGAGATGAGAGCTGAATCCCTGGCTTAGGCTCAAGACGTATGCCACCTTTCCAGAAGCACCTCCGGAGGAGGCTTCTCTCAGCAATAGGTATGTGGGAGGGACTCCGAGACTGCTGCCTCAAGGGGAATATACAGCGAGAAGCCCTAACTTGAAAGGAGGCCGGATTTCCTTGCAGTGGCTTGAATACAGGCTCGTCTTTCATCTCACAACATGAAGGGATGTCTGAATCCCCTGTGGAGACCTTAGAGAAAGCCCTAGGTCCCTGCCTCATTTTGACGGAATCCTCACATCCCGCTGACACCTCGAGAGGCACGCGGAGTTCATTGCTTCAAAAGGTGACGATGCCTGACTCCTCTGGAATACTGATAGGAATCCCAAAATCCCTGTGGCTACTGGAAAGGGTCCTTGGGTGCCCTGCCTCACCTCGAGAAGCGTCCCTTTTGCCCTGCCAAGCCTCGAAGAGATTGCTGAGGTGTCCCTCGTTACTAGGCAGGAGTCCTGACGTCACTGGAGAAACTCGTGTTTTGAAGGGCCATCCCTGCCGTAAGTCGAGAACATACCCCAGGTCCCCGCCGCAACTCGAGAAAAACCATGAGACTTCCCCCTATAGGCGAGATGAGGCCCCATTCCCCTGCAGTGCATGCAGAGCTATTCCGTGATCCCATTCAAACAAGTCAGGAGCTACGACTTGCTTAATGGATATCGAGGCAGTCCCCAAGAACACTGTCACCAGTCTAGACGGACCCTGAGGTCACCCCAGCAACGCAAAGCAGCTCCAGGTGCCACAAATCAACTCGAGATGAGGCCCGATTCCCCTGCATTGACTCCAGAGCCAATCCCCGTTCCCCATTCAACACGACCGGTGGCTCGACTTCCTTCAGGCAACTCCAGAGATGCCCAGAGAACACTGTCCCAAGTCTAGAGGAACACCAACTTCAGCACAGCAACTCGAGGAATGCTCTGTGTACCCCAAATCGTCTCGAGATGAGAGCTGAATCCCTGGCTTAGGCTCAAGACGTATGCCAACTTTCCAGAAGCACCTCAGGAGGAGGCTTCTCTCAGCAATAGGTATGTGGGAGGGACTCCGAGATTGCTGCCTCAAGGGGAATATACAGCGAGAAGCCCTAACTTGAAAGGAGGCCGGATTTCCTTGCAGTGGCTTGAATACAGGCTCGTCTTTCATCTCACAACATGAAGGGATGTCTGAATCCCCTGTGGAGACCTTAGAGAAAGCCCTAGGTCCCTGCCTCATTTTGACGGAATCCTCACATCCCGCTGACACCTCGAGAGGCACGCGGAGTTCATTGCTTCAAAAGGTGACGATGCCTGACTCCTCTTGAATACTGATAGGAATCCCAATTTCCCTGTGGCTAATGGAAAGGGTCCTTGGGTGCCCTGGCTCACCTCGAGAAGCGTCCCTTTTGCCCTGCCAAGCCTCGAAGAGATTGCTGAGGTGTCCCTCGTTACTAGACAGGAGTCCTCACGTCACGGAAGAAACTCGTGTTTTGAAGGGCCATCCCCGCCGTAAGTCGAGAACATACCCCAGGTCCCCGCCGCAACTCGAGAAAAACCATGAGACTTCCCCCTAGAGGCGAGATGAGGCCCCATTCCCCTGCAGTGCATGCAGAGCTATTCCGTGATCCCATTCAAACAAGTCAAGAGCTTCGACTTGCTTAATGGATCTCGAGACAGTCCCCAAGAACACTGTCACCAGTCTAGACGGACCCTGAGGTCACCCCAGCAACGCAAAGCAGCTCCATGTGCCCCAAATCAACTCGAGATGAGGCCCGATTCCCCTGCATTGACTCCAGAGCCATTCCTTGTTCCCCATTCAACACGACCGGTGGCTCGACTTCCTTCAGGCAACTCCAGGGATGCCCCGAGAACACTGTCCCAAGTCTAGAGGAACACCAACTTCAGCACAGCAACTCGAGGAATGCTCTGTGTACCCCAAATCGTCTCGAGATGAGAGCTGATTCCCTGGCTTAGGCTCAAGACGTATGCCACCTTTCCAGAAGCACCTCAGGAGGAGGCTTCTCTCAGCAATAGGTATGTGGGAGGGACCCCGAGTTTGCTGCCTCAAGGGGAATATACAGCGAGAAGCCCTAACTTGAAAGGAGGCCGGATTTCCTTGCAGTGGCTTGAGTACAGGCTCGTCTTTGATCTGACAACATGAAGCGATGTCTGAATCCCCTGTGGAGACCTTAGAGAAAGCCCTAGGTCCCTGCCTCATTTTGACGGAATGCCTCACATCCCGCTGACACCTCGAGAGGCACGCGGAGTTCATTGCTTCAAAAGGTGACGATGCCTGACTCCTCTTGAATACTGATAGGAATCCCAAAATCCCTGTGGCTACTGGAAAGGGTCCTTGGGTGCCCTGCCTCACCTCGAGAAGCGTCCCTTTTGCCCTGCCAAGCCTCGAAGAGATTCCTGAGGTGTCCCTCGTTACTAGGCAGGAGTCCTGACGTCACTGGAGAAACTCGTGTTTTGAAGGGCCATCCCCGCCGTAAGTCGAGAACATACCCCAGGTCCCCGCCGCAACTCGAGAAAAACCATGAGACTTCCCCCTAGAGGCGAGATGAGGCCCCATTCCCCTGCAGTGCATGCAGAGCTATTCCGTGATCCCATTCAAACAAGTCAGGAGCTTCGACTTGCTTAATGGATCTCGAGACAGTCCCCAAGAACACTGTCACCAGTCTAGACGGACCCTGAGGTCACCCCAGCAACGCAAAGCTGCTCCATGTGCCCCAAATCAACTCGAGATGAGGCCCGATTCCCCTGCATTGACTCCAGAGCCATTCCCCGTTCCCCATTCAACACGACCGGTGGCTCGACTTCCTTCAGGCAACTGCAGAGATGCCCCGAGAACACTGCCCCAAGTCTAGAGGAACACCAACTTCAGCACAGCAACTCGAGGAATGCTCCGTGTACCCCAAATCATCTCGAGATGAGAGCTGATTCTCTGGCTTAGGCTCAAGACGTATGCCAACTTTCCAGAAGCACCTCAGCAGGAGGCTTCTCTCAGCAATAGGTATGTGGGAGCGACCCCGAGTTTGCTGCCTCAAGGGGAATACACAGGGAGAAGCCCTAACGTGAAAGGAGGCCAGATTTCCTTGCAGTGGGTTGAATAAAGGCTCGTCTTCGATCTGAAAACATGAAGGGATGTCTGAATCCCCTGTGGAGAACTTAGAGGAAGCCCTAGGTCCCTGCCTCATTTTGACGGAATACCTCACATCCCCCTGACACCTCGAGAGGCACGCAGAGTTCATTGCTTCAAAAGGTGACGATGCCTGACTCCTCTTGAATACTTATAGGAATCCCAAAATCCCTGTGGCTACTGGAAAGGGTCCTTGGGTGCCCTGGCTCACCTCGAGAAGCGTCCCTTTTGCCCTGCCAAGCCTCGAAGAAATTGCTGAGGTGTCCCTCGTTACTAGACAGGAGTCCTGACGTCACCGAAGAAACTCGTGTTTTGAAGGGCCATCCCCGCCGTAAGTCGAGAACATACCCCAGGTCCCCGCCGCAACTCGAGAAAAACCATGAGACTTCCCGCTAGAGGCGAGATGAGGCCCCATTCCCCTGCAGTGCATGCAGAGCTATTCCGTGATCCCATTCAAACAAGTCAGGAGCTTCGACTTGCTTAATGGATCTCGAGACAGTCCCCAAGAACACTGTCACCAGTCTAGACGGAGCCTGAGGTTACCCCAGCAACGCCAAGCTGCTCCATGTGCCCCAAATCAACTCGAGATGAGGCCCGATTCCCCTGCATTGACTCCAGAGCCATTCCCCGTTCCCCGTTCAACACGACCGGTGGCTCGCCTTCCTTCAGGCAACTCCAGAGATGCCCCGAGAACACTGTTCCAAGTCTAGAGGAACACCAACTTCAGCACAGCAACTCGAGGAATACTCTGTGTACCCCAAATCGTCTCAAGATGAGAGCTGATTCCCTGGCTTAGGCTCAAGACGTATGCCAAATTTCCAGAAGCACCTCAGGAGGAGGCTTCTCAGCAATAGGTATGTGGGAGAGACTCCGAGTTTGCTGCCTCGAGGGGAATATACATCGAGAAGCCCTAACTTGAAAGGAGGCCGGATTTCCTTGCAGTAGCTTGAATACAGGCTTGTCTTTCATCTCACAACATGAAGGGATGTCTGAATCCCCTGTGGAGACCTTAGAGAAAGCCCTAGGTCCCTGCCTCATTTTGACGGAATGCCTCACATCCCGCTGACACCTCGAGAGGCACGCGGAGTTCATTGCTTCAAAAGGTGACGATGCCTGACTCCTCTTGAATACTGATAGGAATCTCAAAATCCCTGTGGCTACTGGAAAGGGTCCTTGGGTGCCCTGCCTCACCTCGAGAGGCGTCCCTTTTGCCCTGCCAAGCCTCGAAGAGATTCCTGAGGTGTCCGTCGTTACTAGACAGGAGTCCTGACGTCACTGAAGAAACTCGTGTTTTGAAGGGCCATCCCCGCCGTAAGTCGAGAACATACCCCAGGTCCCCGCCGCAACTCGAGAAAAACCGTGAGCCTTCCCCCTAGAGGCGAGATGAGGCGCCATTCCCCTGCAGTGCATGCAGAGCTATTCCGTGATCCCATTCAAACAAGTCAGGAGCTTCGACTTGCTTATTGGATCTCGAGACAGTCCCCAAGAACACTGTCACCAGTCTAGACGGACCCTGAGGTCACCCCAGCAACGCAAAGCTGCTCCATGTGCCCCAAATCAACTCGAGATGAGGCCCGATTCCCCTGCATTGATTCCAGAGCCATTCCCCGTTCCCCATTCAACACGACCGGTGGCTCGACTTCCTTCAGGCAACTCCAGAGATGCCCCGAGAACACTGTCCCAAGGCTAGAGTAACACCAATTTCAGCACAGCAACTCGAGGAATGCTCCGTGTACCCCAAATCATCTCGAGATGAGAGCTGATTCCCTGGCTTAGGCTCAAGACTTATGCCAACTTTCCAGAAGCATCTCAGGAGGAGGCTTCTCTCAGCAATAGGTATGTGGGAGGGACCCCGAGTTTGATGCCTCAAGGGGAATACACAGGGAGAAGCCCTAATGTGAACGGAGGCCAGATTTCCCTGCAGTGGCTGGAATACAGGCTCGTCTTTGATCTGACAACATGAAGGGATGTCTGAATCCCCTGTGGAGACCTTAGAGGAAGCCCTAGGTCCCTGCCTCATTTTGACGAAATACCTCACATCCCCCTGACACCTCGAGAGGCACGCAGAGTTCATTGCTTCAAAAGGTGACGATGCCTGACTCCTCTTGAATACTTATAGGAATCCCAAAATCCCTGTGGCTACTAGAAAGGGTCCTTGGGTGCCCTGGCTCACCTCGAGAAGCGTCCCTTTTGCCCTGCCAAGCCTCGAAGAGATTGCTGAGGTGTCCCTCATTACGAGACAGGAGTCCTGACGTCACTGAAGAAACTCGTGTTTTGAAGGGCCATCCCCGCCGTAAGTCGAGAACATACCCCAGGTCCCCGCCGCAACTCGAGAAAAACCATGAGACTTCCCCCTAGAGGCGAGATGAGGCCCCATTCCTCTGCAGTGCATGCAGAGCTATTCCGTGATCCCATTCAAACAAGTCAGGAGCTTCGACTTGCTTAATGGATCTCGAGACAGTCCCCAAGAACACTGTCACCAGTCTAGACGGAGCCTGAGGTCACCCCATCAACGCAAAGCTGCTCCATGTGCCCCAAATCAACTCGAGATGAGGCCCGATTCCCCTGCATTGACTCCAGAGCCATTCCCCGTTCCCCGTTCAACAAGACCGGTGGCTCGCCTTCCTTCAGGCAACTCCAGAGATGCCCCGAGAACACTGTCCCAAGTCTAGAGGAACACCAACTTCAGCACAGCAACTCGAGGAATGCTCTGTGTACCCCAAATCGTCTCGAGATGAGAGCTGATTCCCTGGCTTAGGCTCAAGACAAATGCCAACTTTCCAGAAGCACCTCAGGAGGAGGCTTCTCAGCAATAGGTATGTGGGAGGGACTCCGAGTTTGCTGCCTCAAGGGGAATATACATCGAGAAGCCCTAACTTGAAAGGAGGCCGGATTTCCTTGCAGTAGCTTGAATACAGGCTTGTCTTTCATCTCACAACATGAAGGGATGTCTGAATCCCCTGTGGAGACCTTAGAGAAAGCCCTAGGTCCCTGCCTCATTTTGACGGAATGCCTCACATCCCGCTGACACCTCGAGAGGCACGCGGAGTTCATTGCTTCAAAAGGTGACGATGCCTGACTCCTCTTGAATACTGATAGGAATCCCAAAATCCCTGTGGCTACTGGAAAGGGTCCTTGGGTGCCCTGGCTCACCTCGAGAAGCGTCCCTTTTGCCCTGCCAAGCCTCGAAGAGATTGCTGAGGTGTCCCTCGTTACTAGACAGGAGTCCTGACGTCACTGAAGAAACTCGTGTTTTGAAGGGCCATCCCCGCCGTAAGTCGAGAATATACCCCAGGTCGCCGCCGCAACTCGAGAAAAACCATGAGACTTCCCCCTAGAGGCGAGATGAGGCCCCATTCTCCTGCAGTGCATGCAGAGCTATTCCATGATCCCATTCAAACAAGTCAGGAGCTTCGAATTGCTTAATGGATCTGGAGACAGTCCCCAAGAACACTGTCACCAGTCTAGATGGACCCTGAGGTCACCCCAGCAACGCAAAGCTGCTCCATGTGCCCCAAATCAACTCGAGATGAGGCCCGATTCCCCTGCATTGACTCCAGAGCCATTCCCCGTTCCCCATTCAACACGACCGGTGGCTCGACTTCCTTCAGGCAACTCCAGAGATGCCCCGAGAACACTGTCCCAAGTCTAGAGGAACACGAATTTCAGCACAGCAACTCGAGGAATGCTCCGTGTACCCCAAATCATCTCGAGATGAGAGCTGATTCCCTGGCTTAGGCTCAAGACGTATTCCAACTTTCCAGAAGCACCTCAGGAGGAGGCTTCTCTCAGCAATAGGTATGTGGGAGGGACCCCGAGTTTGCTGCCTCAAGGGGAATACACAGGGAGAAGCCCTAATGTGAACGGAGGCCAGATTTCCTTGCAGTGGCTTGAATACAGGCTCATCTTTGATCTGACAACATGAAGGGATGTCTGAATCCCCTGTGGAGTCCTTAGAGGAAGCCCTAGTTCCCTGCCTCATTTTGACGGAATACCTCACATCCCCCTGACACCTCGAGAGGCACGCAGAGTTCATTGCTTGAAAAGGTGACGATGCCTGACTCCTCTTGAATACTTATAGGAATCCCAAAATCCCTGTGGCTACTGGAAAGGGTCCTTGGGTGCCCTGGCTCACCTCGAGAAGCGTCCCTTTTGACCTGCCAAGCCTCGAAGAGATTGTTGAAGTGTCCCTCATTACTAGACAGGAGTCCTGACGTCACTGAAGAAACTCGTGTTTTGAAGGGCCATCCCCGCCGTAAGTCGAGAACATACCCCAGGTCCCCGCCGCAACTCGAGAAAAACCATGAGACTTCCCCCTAGAGGCGAGATGAGGCCCCATTCCCCTGCAGTGCATGCAGAACTATTCCGTGATCCCATTCAAACAAGTCAGGAGCTTCGACTTGCTTAATGGATCTCGAGACAGTCCCCAAGAACACTGTCACCAGTCTAGACGGACCCTGAGGTCACCCAGCAATGCAAAGCAGCTCCATGTGCCCCAAATCAACTCGAGATGAGGCCGTATTCCCCTGCATTGACTCCAGAGCCATTCCCTGTTCCCCATTCAACACGACCGGTGGCTCGACTTCCTTCAGGCAACTCCAGAGATGTCCCGAGAACACTGTCCCAAGTCTAGAGGACCACCAACTTCAGCACAGCAACTCGAGGAATGCTTTGTGTACCCCAAATCGTCTCAAGATGAGAGCTGATTCCCTGGCTTAGGCTCAAGACGTATGCCAACTTACCAGAAGCACCTCAGGAGGAGGCTTCTCTCAGCAATAGGTATGTGGGAGGGACCCCGAGTTTGCTGCCTCAAGGGGAATATACAGCGAGAAGCCCTAACTTGAAAGGAGGCCGGATTTCCTTGCAGTGGCTTGAATACAGGCTCGTCTTTCATCTCACAACCTGAAGGAATGTCTGAATCCCCTGTGGAGACCTTAGAGGAAGCCCTAGGTCCCTGCCTCATTTTGACGGAATCCTCACATCCCGCTGACACCTCGAGAGGCACGCAGAGTTCATTGCTTCAAAAGGTGACGATGCCTGACTCCTCTTGAATACTTATAGGAATCCCAAAATCCCTGTGGCTACTGGAAAGGGTCCTTGGGTGCCCTGGCTCACCTCGAGAAGCGTCCCTTTTGCCCTGCCAAGCCTCGAAGAGATTGCTGAAGTGTCCCTTGTTACTAGACAGGAGTCCTGACGTCACTGAAGAAACTCGTGTTTTGAAGGGCCATCCCCGCCCTAAGTCGAGAACATACCCCAGGTCCCCACCGCAACTCGAGAAAAACCGTGAGAC